ACATGTGTAAACATTATATTTTCTCCCACATATGAGAAGCTGATAGAGTAAATAAAGTAAAAATGTACAATAGATTTTGTAAAATGGCAAGAAACTTCAAAAGGAAAGAGAAACTGAGATGCAGGAATGGAGAAAAGAAGGAAAAGAAAAGCTATCATGTATCTTTCTTTTCAATGAACTAAGAGGAATTAGTAGTATAGCTACTATACTACTAATATAGCATAGCTACTATCCTACTAATTTCTCTTAGTTCATTGAAAGGCAAAATTTGTGCTAATATTGTTTGGATAATTAAATGCCGATATATTGTACTCTGAGTAACTGATTTAAGTTAGCCATATGTGATGTATTAACCATAGTACCCTCTATTATCTTGTTTTGAAACTTTTTCTCTTTAAAGTGAAAAATATGAGAACTAAATCTATATCTATATCAAACTATAAAGTTGTATATAAAACTATACATTTTTTGACCTTGGATTCAGTAAAAAGCTTCCTAGATGTGATTATAAAATGATAAATTACAACTAAAACAAATGAATTAGGCATCATAAAAATTGAAAATTCTTCTACATCAAAGGACACTGTCAAGAGAGTAAAAAATTAGCCTACAAAATATGAGAAGATATTTTGAAATCAGACTGTAGCCTATAATATGTAAGGAACTCCTCTAACTTAATGCAAATAAGCAATCAATACTATTAAAAAATAAGCAGAAGATAAGTAGCTATTTCATTAAATACATACAGATATCCCATAGAAAATTAAAAATGCTTAGTGCAAGCCAAATCAACATTACAAGGATATGAAGACCACTGCATACTCAGTAGGATGATCAGAATTTAAACAAAATAAATGAAAAATTTAAAAAATGTGTTAACAAATACTTAGAGTAACTTTAAAACTCTTACATTGCATGTGGAAATATAAACTGATGTAGTAACTTTAGAAACAATCTAAAACTTCTTCATAACATTACCCTACTTGCCACAGGACTAAGAGACGACATGGGTAAATATCCCAGTGAAACTAAGGTAACAGGGAGTAGGAGAGAGATCTTTTTCAACTTGGAAGGGGATCAAGAGATAGAGGGATGAGGGAGAGCTGGGTGGGAGAGGGGATAAAAAAGAATTAGTTGTTTTAAGTATGTGTACCAACTTCCCACAAGCAATGTGAGTATTATGTACTGCAAACATGCATTAATTTAAAATATTTAAATAAAATAAAATATATTTCCCCACAAAATTTATATGTTTATAATAGCAACACTTATAGTAGCCCCAAAGTAAAAATAACCTAAATGCTCATTACCTGATTGATAAAAGAAATGTAATATAGTCACAGAACAAAATATTATGCAGATGTAAAGAAGAATAAATTACTGATCCTTGCCTTGACACAGATGAGCCCCAAGAACATAATCTTCAGTAGCAGAAGCCAGGCAGAAAACCATTTCTTGTTATATCCTGTGCTCTAAGGAGTCATTTTTTTTTCCAATGGTACAAAAAGTATGAAGGAAGCAGTGAAAAAGTCTAAGAGCTAAAAAATTAAAGATTTCATGAAGGGCCTTCTTGTTTCTTTGATGATTTCTTCCCCTAGTTTCCCACTTCCATTTGCTGCTACCTTTTAAAAAATTTCCTTTCATAATAATCCCCTTGTCAATTAATGCTTCTGACTGCTATTGGGAATTCCCCAGGACTCAGCTTGGCCCTCTGTTCCTGCCTCTCAATAACCCCCCACACTGTGACATGTTCCCATGATAGCATTCACGAGCCTCTCAGACCTGTCTAAATGATTCCAACTAATGCTATGACTAGATCTCTTATCTGTAGCATTTACCTGTCTTAGTTCAATGATATTTTTCACAAACATAAATATATTCATATACACACACTTGCCTAATATTCTTTTTCTATAATGCTACTGTGCTATTGTCTAGAAAACATCTTTAGTTCTCACAAGATGGGACCATGTTTGCTAAGCTGCATTCATAGTTCCCACAGTTCACCACCTACTTTCTGGGCTGCTGCTGGGTTCCATATACAACCTGTCAACTCTAGCCCAACAGCATAACTTATCTCTGTTGTATCTTTACCATGACCCTTCTGATGAAGTCCTTTTCTCCACTTTCAGGGCATCTGCTCATCTTTCTCCATGTATCAAAATCCTATCCCTTCTAAGTCCACCTCATTAACCCAGTTCTCAAGGAAGTCTTCTACATTGACCTCAGGGGAAGGGATTTCTACCAATTTTTATGCCATTCAATATCTATGCCTTTCATGTAACACATACATTTCCTTTCATGGTAGTAATATGTGGAAATGTCTTTGAAATTTCACAAAAGATTATAATGTCCTGGAAAGCAGGAGTTGTGTCACATTTCTTTGAGTTGTCTTTGTTTCTTTTGCAAAAGTCAAATAAATTATTTAGAAATTAGCCTAAATTTAAACTGCTTGTGGATTTTCTTTTAGTGAAAAGGTGAAAAAGTCAAAGAAACATTCCTTTTAGTGAATCTGAGAGTGGTCAATGAAAATAAGGGTTAGGTGAAAAGTATGCTCCAGAATTATGTTTAAGGACCATGATTTTTGTAAATAAAATTTAAATATATGATAAAAGAGATTTTATTTTCTCCATTTTAAAGATCTTTCTAAAGGCATATTAGGATTTTTTTGTTTTTTATATCTGATTCTTTTTTGCTATTTATAAGAATTGGTTTGCATAAGAATATATATATAAGAGAGTAGAGGCTTGGATGTCTTTGGGGGAGCAGTAATCCCATGGAATGAAGGAAGGTGCTTCGTAAAACAAAGAAAACTCAAGAGAAAAGTCGAAAAAAAATATGGATGGGGGAGGGCTGGCCAGATAGTTCAGCAGATTAAGAGCCTGCTTAGGCAGAGTGCAGTGGCCGGGGTTTGATTCCTGGCATGCTGTGCTGGCCCCACCCCCAGAGCACACTGAAATGACGATTGAGACTGGGTATGGTGGTGCGCACCTGTAATCCCAGTGCTTGAGAGGCAGAAAACAGGAGAATCACTAGGAGTCTGGTCTGTGTAGTGAGGCCTTGTAGACCCTGTAGACCTTGTATTAAATGCAAAAAAACAAAAAAAGTTGACAAAGCTGGGGAACAGTCACAAGAACATGCTTTGGCTTGCGTTGTATTTGCAATGTGCCCTTGGTCAGTCTCTGATTAGGAATTTCACAGAGGTGGAGTAGTCATTGTGGGCGTGGAATGAGAGGTGCAATCTGCTGCAGAATGAGCTCCTCAATGTCATCAAAAATATCCTTTCCTGTGGCCTTGTTCACTCCCTTGGGGCACCTGCTGGATGTGTGTCTTGTGAGTGCCGGTGGCAGAAGCAACAGGAGTTAAAGCAGACGGATGAAAGTTATGTTGTATTTGTAGTCTTTGTTTAAGCCTGAAACTCACTCAAAGATTTACTTTAGGTTCCAAGACTTCAAGGCGATGACCCTCAAATTATGCAAACTCAACTTGGACTGGGTTATGGGATTTCCTGTTAGCATGTAAACACTGGTGTCCTCTCCAAGAGAGACTCTGCCTTTCGAAATACCTGAGTTTATATCCTCACTGTTTCCCCAAACAATTTCGATGCTAACTATTGCATTTTTCTATTTCAGAACAGGCTCGAAATAATTCGGAACACTCTCTAATAAGTAAGTACCAAATTAATCAAGGAAAAAAAAAATGCTGTTTTTCATGGCTGCTGAAATAACACAAATTGGTTTTTCTTAACGAGGAGGGCTTGTTTGTATTAGATTATCTGTTCTTTTGCTATCCAAACCCCTCCCCCAGGCAGCTGTGTGCACTACTCCTGGCAAGGGTCTGGCTCCTTGCCCAACATAAACAGCACCTGCAGCACGAACAGTGTGACATTTGTTCCTACTCTGAGTTACCTAACTATGTGTCCGCTATAGGTCCAGCTTCTATTGCCTATGATCATTTTTACCCTAAAAAGATGCATCTAGGGAAATAAGTCACATGAATTATAATTGAATGTTTACTTCATACTTTTTATTCTGTTCGACAATAACCCAAAATAAAAAATAGAGTTTACATAATAACACAAATTTTTAAAAAAGTTCTACAAAGCCATACTTCCAACAGGGTTTCTCTATGGACCTTTGGGGCTGGATAATTCTTTGTTGTATGTGGGAGAGAGTGTAGGATGTCTTGACCTGTACTCACTGTATGACAGCCTCCCTCCCCTCCCTCTTTACAACAATCATAATGTCTCCTGACATTACTGCCTATTTTCTGGGGTGGGGATAGAGGAAGGCATAAGTGTTCCATTTGAGAACCATTACTCTAGTATGTGTGATACATTCTCATATTTTCTATTGTTGTCTTTTTGGTTTACAAAAAGGGGTAAGTTTAATTATACTAAATTTTTTTACAAGGTAAAAATAAGTTGCAATCAACTGTGAACAAACAGGGCTTTAAAGCGTATTGACATTGACCAAGGGTAATGTACATTAACTACATGCTGTGCAAACAGGATCTGGGGAAACCAAATTTGCCTAGTATTTGGCAATATCAATGAATTAAGGGACAAAGAGCCCTTAGTGTAAATTTAGTGTGGGAAACATGGTAGTTGAATTCCATCTGCTACTCTGCAGATGATGTTTGACTTTGGGGAATTCTCAGAGCAATAATGTTATACTTAAGTCACTGAAAAGGATAAAGCTGATGGCTTCTCTAATTTCCTCAGGTGGTCAATGTGAGCATTAAGGTAGTTATTGTGAGTAAAAGGGGTTGGTGAAGTGCTTCTTGAGGGCTGTTATGGAGATTGTTCTGCAGATTAACCTTAACAAATGAAAGATTTTTGCAAAAGATAAAAAGGTGTTTGAGGGTAATGAGGCCCCCAGAGGCAAACAGAAGCATCAGTATGAAATTTCCTTTGTTCAGGTTCTCACAATGCAGAGGGGTGTTATTGATCCTAATATAGCTCAGATTTCCTGACTATTTTTAGTATTAACTAATTCCAGATGTAACCAGTGCCTCAGGACCACCCTCCAAAGAAGAGATGGCGGATGGGCTATGGGTCCTCTACAGTGTGCTTCCTTTGGGGGCATTTCCTCTGCTTGTCATTGCCTGTTTTTGTCTGTTCTGCTGCCTGAAAAGGCAACAAGGTGGGTCCTGTTTTCCCTCTGTCCATTTGGATTGCACATTTGGGATTCTTTTTTTGAGACTGGCAGATTTTAAATTGGCTCTTGTCCTCCCTCCCCATCTTCTATGATAAATGATGAATAACGATTTCCTGGGAGGCTGCCATATTTTCAGCGAAAGAACTGATGTGAGTGGGCTCCCTCCTCTATTCATGGAGGGCCAGCACAGTGTCCCTCCTAGGGCTGTGATTAATAAAGCACCCAGACTAAACTTTCCTATTTTCTTTGCATCACTTGTAAGCTTGTATAAGGAAGAGCTTTTCTAAGCTTTAACAGAATTGGAAGAGAGGTTGAAATAATCTCTTAGGTAAAGTATGTCTAACCAGTCCCACCCTCTTTTTCATAAATATCACTTCATTCCAGTCACATCCACTCTCTTCTAAATAAAGAACAAGTGTCCCCAGAGAGAAATCACATGTATGCGTGCTTTCTGCTTCCATCACGACAACGCTCATGCAACAATACTGCATTCAAGATAAAGGAAGTTAGGAAACAGGTTGTTTGCAAATGGGAAGGAAACTTAAGAGATAGGGGAGAGATGGGAGGTGACAGAGGAAGGGGACGTAAAAGGAAATAAGACACGTCATGTACATGTGCCAACTCCCTACATGGAATCTAACCATTATGTACAGCACATATGTAGTAATTAACATAAAAGTTTGAAAGAGAAAACAAAATATTTCATTTGAAAAATGTGAGTTTGGCTATGATGAGAAAGGTGCAATATTTTGAAAATTCTTATCTACTTTTCTAAACATTTGTTCACTGCCACCACCCAACTTTTAAACATAGAAACAGATGCATAAAGATTCTGATCTATCTTTGATTGTGTCCACCTTAGTTTCTGTCTTTCTTTTTTCCTCTTCTCCCCTGTCTTATCCTTTCCCCCACCCCCCGCAATATGAGATACAGTGTAACTTCAGAAAGTGAACTAGGGAGAGGGAATATTTCTGGTTTCAATAGAAGAAAGTTTTACCTGGGCAGAAGTGCTTCTGGTACTTAAGAGGGAAGGAATCCAGAGCCCAGATGCCCTCCTGTCTCTGGAGAATCCTCTCTCACCTCACCTCTCCCCTGGGACTCTATGGCTCTTTCCATAGTCTGACTGCAGGTTTCATTATTTTGCTTGAGGCTGCTAGAAGCTCACTAAAAAAGAGAAGTAGTGATTTTTTTTGATTTATCATATTCTGCTGAAATTCAAGTGAAAGTGGGTAGTACAAGGTTCTGGCTATGTAGGTAAGAATATAGGGGCATTTTGGTATTGAGGGTATGAAATGTCCCCAGAGTGAAAGACTTTCAACTTTTCCAAAGTGAAATGCTAGAGTATTCATTCCTCTTGGAGCTGACACAGAGCTCTGTGTTGTGGGAAGCGCTGGCAGGGAAGTGTGGCAACGTGAATTCTTACCAAGCAAGCTGTGCATGGTGTAGCAGCCAAGGCAAATCAACACGTCCAAATTAACACCACTTGCCAGTGTGCTGGGAGATAGGTGAGTGTGGGTGGGAAGGCCACTTGTCTTTACCTTGTTTACTCATTTGATTACTTTTTTTTTCCTCCTTTGTCTTCCAGGTAAAAGAAAGAAGCCTTCTGATATGGCAGAAAGGGAAATTAACATGGTATGGTTGATGTATCAGTTAAGATAGATACAGTTTGTGTTACATCATACTTACATATATTTTTCAGTAGTTTATATATTTGCATGATCCAGGCACCCTTCTAAGATTAATAGACAGACAGATAAGTAGGTAGGTAGATAGGTAGATAGATAGAAAGAGGGATAGCTTATATTCATTTTTAAAAATGTAAGAAAAGTTCTTACAGCATAGCGGAAAACCTGGAGTCAAAACAGAGAAATCTGGAGGCGCACCTCTTTCCTGTTATGTGGCTTTAGTTATTTTTTAATTCTTACAGAAGCATCTGTTGGGCATAGTGGTGCACACCTGTAATTCCAGCACTCGAGAGGCTAAGGTAAGAATATCTCTGTGAGTTTGAGGCCAGCCTGGGCTACAAAGTGAGTTCAAGGCCAGCAAGAACTGCATAGTGAAACCCTTCCTCAAAAAGAGAGAGAAACAAAGAAAGCACCTGAAAGTCATTTGGAAGTGAGTTAATGGGAGAATCAACCCAAAAATAACTTTGTGGATGGGACATTTAATCACAATAAATCATAACACAATTATAATATGAGATTTCTTCCCAAAACACATCAGCAAATAAAGAAGCATGAGTCTGGGCTTAATTATTAATCAAAGCCATTGTTCGTGTATGCGGGAACATCAAAGAGGAAGACAAAGGACAGTACATGTGGCTTTGTTTTTGATACCAGGAATCAAACTCAGGACCTTGTGCTTGTCAGCAGGAACTGTGCTGCTGAGCTGTATCCCTGGCCCTAGGAAAGGACATTTAGGAGGGAATTTTTCCAACAAGTTTTGGAGAATAAATTTAGGCCTTTCTTTTGAATTGAAAGTTGTATGGATATTTGAACTAAAGGAAGAATGAAAGATGAAACAATGTATTTTTGAAAAAAAATTGAAACTCCTTAAAAATAGTTGCAAATAGGTATCAAGAAAGAACTCTGTGTGTGTGTGTGTGTGTGTGTGTGTGTGTGTGTGTGTGTTTTAGAAAGGAAAACTATGGGTAAGGAGGCAGTGAACCTCTAGAATGTTCCAGAAATTCCTATATATATAGGCATATATAGTCAATGGATTCTATGTGTAATATTGATTGTTAGGGCTGGGGAGATAGCTCAGTAGCATAGGCACCCACCTGGCAATCACATGGACCTGAGCTCAGTCCCCAGTATCAGAAAAAAAAAGCGCTAATATTGTTGTTCAACACTTCCCACTAAATTGTCAAATTTTAAATCAAGGCAAAGACATTCATGTAAGTAAGTGATATTGAGGTTATAAGATTAATAGCTACTATGTTGTGTGTTAAGAACTTGCATTCTCAAGTAGAAAAATTTTTTAAAATAGTATTTTCATTATTCCTAAGTAAATGGAAATTAAAAAAAAATTATATTCTGCCACAATCAGGCCTGTAAAATATGAAACTGCTTAAATTAATCATCTAAGTAATTTACCATGCAAGTAAAAGCCAGATGAGTTAAGCTATAGGCATATTTTTGCCTGTGAAAACGAAGAAAATTATGATTTGTGCTAAAATTCATAGGGGCTTTGTTATTTAGAAAATTTGCATTAAAGTGCTAAGGATAAGAATTCGAAGTACTTTTCCCATTTGATTTGTTTAACATTTCAGAAAATAATAAAGGGATACTATAGATCCCTGGGACTAAATATTTCTTAAGAATGAAGTTGTTAAAGGAACCAGGAAAAATCCAAAGTAGAGAAGTGAACTGTTAAAAACTTGGCAGATTCTGTGAACTACAAATCACAAACAAGTTTAAAATGAAAGCAAAGATAATTTTATTTGAGTGCAAAAGATATTTGCAAACCATGATACACATGTTTAGTTTAAAAACCTTAAAGTGTTTCCATGAGGTGGAGACAGGATTCAAACTTTATAACAAAAAGCAGAAGAGGTAACACATAGTTTAGTACTTTTGGGGGATAAATAAGGCTTCAGTGGGCTCATGAGAAACTGCCTCAAATCAGTGTGGTTTACAAATTTTGCAAGTCCATTGAAATATCCATGCCAAGGACAGATATTTTCCTATGGAGTTTTTGCAGGTCCGTAGAACATTAACAAAGTGCCAGCAATTGTTTCATTTATTGCCTCAGCAGTAAACAACTTATCCTTGTCAGCAAACCTCTAAGGCATACCAAAAAAAGTCTTGCTTTCTCTTTGACCATTCTGCAGCCATTTTTATTTTAATTTTATCAGTATATATAAAAGCTAAAGTTCTAATCTTATTCCAAAACGGGCTTTGAAGAGAACAAAAGTACCTATGCTGAATGCCACTCAATGGTACATTAAGAGGGCCGGCCAAATAGCTCAGCAGATTAAAGCACCTGCTTAGGCAGATTCAGGGGCTGGGAGTTTGATTCCTGGGCCTGCCATGCCGGCCCCATCCTAGGGGCACACTGAGATGGTGTTTTAGACTGGGCATGGTGGCGCACGCCTGTAATCCCAGCACTTGGGAGACTATACACAGGAGGATCACTATGAGTACGATCTATGCAGTGAGACCCTGTACACCCTGAACACCCTGTCCTAAATACACACACACAAAAAATTTACAGTACAAGGGTGGATTTTATTATCTCCCTGAATATCTTTTAAAAAGTGCTTTGTAAGCTGTAAAGTATCACAGGCTTAAGAGTTCTCTGTTTCTGTCTTCTCTGTCACATCATGATGCACCAGCCTTGTGGCACCCATCACTTGATGGCTTGTCACAAGTGTTTCAGAGGTACAATACTATGTTCATTCTAAGAAAATTGCCCATGGAAATGAGCCAGATTTCTTGGGGAAATGGGTCAGGTAACTGAGTTGACAGGTTTATATAGGCTGAAAAGTCTGACAGGAATCTTGAATTATTGAAGACGTCCAGCCATCGATTCAGTCACTTGACTGTCTCAATGTGTTGTGTGATTACTCGCCAGGTTTTATCGAATGCAGGTAGTGTACTTTGCGTCTTAGCCAAGCAACCTCTGATTCTTTCAATCAGCAGCCTTGCTGTTAATATTAATTGGTTACCTCATCAGAGGAAAGCAGTGTGTCTCAGTTATTACTTAGCTTCTTAGTATAGGGCCAGACACACATTTGTGTGGTAGAACTCTGCAGAGGAGACATGCTATTCATTCTGCTCCAATACTATGTTATAATATGAATTGTAGGGGACAAAACAAGGTATGTGGACTATCACAGATTATCAACCTCATATCTTAAAGAAGCCAGGTCAAACACACACACACACACACACACACACACACACACACACACCTGTTAAAATAGATTATACTACTAATTGCCATTTGTTCATTGGAGGGATAGGTGTATGCCTGTATGGCTTGATTGATTTTGCATGCTTATATCTTGTTTTATGAGCAACTACTTTGATGATAACAATGCACAATGTGCTAAGCATTGTTACTCTCCTGCAGTCTTTTTCTGAAATTTTAGACTATTGTTTTTATTTTCTTTCTTTCTTTCTTTCTTTCTTTCTTTCTTTCTTTCTTTCTTTCTTTCCTTCTTTTTTCTTCTTTTTTTATGCAATATCTCATTTATTTTTTTTATTTTTTTTCCAAAATTTTATTGATAAACAGCAATGAGACAGTTTCAATCTTTCTTTCTTCTTTCTTTCTCCTTTCTTTTTTGTATTTAGTACAGGGTCTACTGGGTCTCACTACATTAATTGGACTCGTAGTGATCCTCCTATTTTCAGCCTCCCAAGCATTCTGATCACAGGCACGGGCCACCATGCCTAGTCTCAATCAAAGTCTCAGCACACCCTGGGGCAGGGCCGACACAGCAGGCTGGGGATGGAACCTGAACCTCTGACCCCTGCATCTACCTAAGCAGGTGCTTTAATTTGCTGAGCTATCTGGCCAGCCCCATTTTTCTTCTCTTTGAAATAAAAAAGAACAGAAATTGACTAACAAGTTTAAGATTTAAAAAATGAAGTACTAACCCCTAACATCAACATGGAATCTTCATTTTTACCAGGTAGGTCTTTTATATAGCTAGGAATGCCTAACAACTGATAGAAAATATGACTCATTTTATTTTTAGTTGTCATAAGTTTACTAAGATACCTGACACTATTTGAAAGTGTACAAATATTCTTGTGACAACAATAAAAATTGGAATAACATTTTCGAACTTTATCTAAGCCATCCATGTACCTTGAAAACTGACATCAAGTTTACAATTCTAGGCTTCAAATCATAATTAATCTTAGGTCACATAATAGGGACTACCTTCTATTCTATACTTAGTCTCTTTTTATTCTATATTACATTTCATACTCCCATAGGGCTCTAAGATGCCTGAGATCTTCACGTGCTCTTTTATTCTTTTCCCTTTAATTTCAGTTGTCTTTGTATCTTGAAGATCAAATGAAAACTGTTCTGTGATCTCAGCCAGGCACGGCTGCATGTGGCTGTAATCCCCGCAATCAGGGAAGGTGCAGTAGGAGGATTACAAATTTGACCCTAGCCTGACCAAGTTAGTGCCTTAAAAGAAACTGTTGAAAATGAAGTGCTGTGTGAAGATCCGGGTTCATTTCTCAGCATGGCAAAAAAAAAAAAAAAAAAAAAAAAGAAATGTTATATGACTAAATAAAAAAAGGATATACAAAGGAAGGACCATTTTGTGTCTGTATATACAGAATAGTTAGGATTGATATACAGCTACTTTTGCTTAATTCAATGAGAAGAAAGATTTGTACTAATACTGTTCAGACAGGATATCATGTCTCCTTCTTGTACTATGGATATCCACTAAGGTGATAACAATGTACAATGTATTAATTATTGAAATTTTCCTATTAATCAGCTTTGAAACTGTCTCATTGATATTTGTTTCTCAGTAAAATAAAATTTAAAAAAATGTTATATGACTTCAAAAATGATTCCTAATAAGGCATAAAAGTACTATTTGGGAAGAATATACTGGTTCCTAAAACGTTCATTCTTTAATGATCAAAAGTGTACTAAAAATGCAAATGTTGACAGCATTGTGAAGAACAGTAGGTTATTTCTTTCAATATATGACATCATTTAGCGTTTTACCATTACCTAATGAATATACAATGTCACGTCCTTTATTCTTATAGGTAGATATTATCCAGCCCCTTAGGAGTGAGCAAACAGAAGCGAACACCAAGAAAAATTCCCGAACACTGTCATTGGAAGCTGAAATTTATGACAATGACCCCTGCTTTAGGACACAAGAAGGGTCTGAAGTTTATTCTAATCCACACTTGGAGGAACACAAGCAGGCCATTGTTTATGCTTCCCTGAACCATTCTATTATCAGAATGAACCCAAGACAGGCAAGAAATGTGGAAGAAGCGCCGACGGAATATGCATCTATATGTGTGAGAAGTTAAGTTTGGTCTTGATACCAGGCGGAGCGATCAAAGCATCATTGCCATTATCTGACCTGAACAGGACATCCAGTAACGTTTCTCAACTTAGGGGATTTTCACTTTAAAGTGGCTCTTATTGGTGCTTGGATCTTAATTGTCTCGAAAGCATATGATGAAACTTTCTCCTGAAAAGGTCTCTAGAGAACTTCTATACTATAGAACTGGACAACAAATATTTTCTCTAGGACATTTAATCTTAGTTGTATTTTACTGACTATATCAACTCAATTATTTCCTTTGGAGCTGCCAGAGAGATCTGTAGGGAAGAGAGATTTGTGTTATCTTGATCAGTTCACTACACATTCTTGGAAAATAATGATTGTCTTAACTTGACTAATTATCAATACAGTAACGATTGTAAGTTCACAATCTTCTCTAATGAGAAAACTCCTTATGTCCTTCTCAGGCTAGCGTTTCTTTGATATAAAGAAAAATTGTAGACTTGTCAAGAAAAGAGTGAGGAGTAACAGGTGTGTATATGGGTACACCCATCACGGTACCCACAGAGAATGCGTTGACTGGCACCTGACAAATTCTTGTATCTGTTCTGTCAGATTGGAAAGCAAATGTACTCAATAATGGAGTGAACAATGTAAAGTGGATTTATGAGCAGAGGTGTGACTCAGCATTTGGCTGACATTGACTGACGTCTATGAATGTGACCCAGTGCTGCTGGATGAGTGTCCATGTGGACATCTGAACACACATGCAAACTAAGGAGAAGAAAGTTAAACAGGCTCATGGTTGACCTGATAACAAACTAAAAGGACAATTAATGAAATGGAAAAGAGTTCAGGCTATTTAGTTGGTCAATAGGGGTCAACACACTTTAAAAGACAGCTGTATCTTATTTTTATAAGAAATCAGAGCAAATCAAGTGCAGCGAAGTTTTAGTAAGATAATCATTCGTTTTAAAATACTGAGGTTGCAGCCACTTAAAGGGTAGCTTGGGATTTTCTGAATTATTTCTGGAGTACTTGAGTCTGATTCTTTCAAACATAACCTACAGCTTTATTTAAGAGATTGAAGCTAGTGTTGTTAGGTGCTGCTGCTAAATAATGCAGCTGTCTTCATATGAAATAGATGGCAAAAGTTAGGACCCACTTGAACAAATACAGGAGCTGCTGCAGAGATGAATGTGGCCCGTGAGTGTGCAAGTGTGTATGTGTGTTAGTGTATAGGAGGGGTAGACAATTTACATAAATGGTACAGGAGAAACTGATCAAATTGCTATTCTATTTTCAGTTTGCTTGGGAAATGCAAAATACTAAAATAAATGAGTCATTAAAGAAGAGAATGAGTAAGAATGTAAATAAGAGTGCAAGTAGAGAACACACACGCACGCCAAAAGTAGGGTTTTGCTGTGAAGCTTTTCTTATGCATTGCTCACATTAAGCTTTAGGTCCTTGGATTTGAGGCTGCAGATATGGCTTTTGAGTCACTGTTGTCACATCAGCAGCATTACACCTAGAATGTTAAAGCAACAGCTTCTAGGTAACAAAGCTTTATCAGTGAGCAAGTTATGTAAAAGAGGCATTAACACAGCTGCTAGCTATATTTGTAAAAATAGAAACAGGAACTATGGGAGGAAGCAGGTAGCTGTCCTCTTATCAGATAAACATACAAAAGTGAGCAGTTCTTTCATAATTGTCTCTAATTTAAAAGGCAACTATTTCTGTCTATTGTGTTTGAGTTGCTTAACATGTCCTGTAGTAAAAGATGATATTGATAATAATTTCACCTCTATAAATGATTCGTTGTTATTTTATAAAACTTGTAAAAATCATGTCATTTATGTTTTCATTTCTTCTTAATAAAGTACGCTAAATATAGGTGCTATTTCCCTAAATAAATCTATTCAGTATTATTTCCATGATTAGTTTATTAATTGATAGATGGCAGAGCATTTAACAATTCTTCCTGTTTTCACTTTGTTGATTATTTCCAATGTGAAAGGAAAGTTATTAAAGCTTACCTTAAATCAATTTGATATTTGCTTTTAACAAAAAAAGTGAGGATTCAAAATAGAAGCAATTCTCAGATTTCAACACAAAAATAACCTGCAGAACTCGATAAGTTGGAGAAAGAGGAAGAGAAGCTTTTTAAAGTGTGTTTTCAGTTTCATAAAACCTAAGCTGAAAGCACAGAGATTTTCCATGTCCCCTCCCCAGCACTTTCACAGCTTCCACACCATCAGGTTCCTGAACCACAGTCCATTTGTTAAAACTGAACCAACACTGGGATGTCACTCTTAACCAAAGCCGTTGACTTGCCTGAGGATTCGCATTCGGTGCCGTCACTTGGGGTTTTGAAATGTATACTGACCTGGACCCACTGTTACAGTGACATACAGAACAGCTTCACTGCTTTAAAAACCTTCTGTGCTCCCTTTATCTCTCCCTTCTTCCAAATCCCTGGGAAACAGGGATCTGCTTATTATTTTAACCTCTTTTGTCTTTTCCTGAATGTGCTATTGTTGGGTGTAGAGACCATGTAGTTTTTAAATTGGTTTTTTTGCCATGTAGAAGTGCATTGAATTTCTTCATCTCTTTGCATTGTGTATAGCTCTTTTCTCTTTATGTCAGTAACATTTCGTTATTTGGGTGTGTCACAGTTTAGTGTTCATTTACCTTCTGAAAAACATCCTGGTTGTTTCCACATTTTGGTGGTTCTGAAGCTACTGTATATGTTCAAGTATAAGCTTTTGTGTGGACATGAATTTTTAACTCATTTGGTAAATATGAAGGCAAATAATTGTTAGACAGTATGGTGAAAGCATATTTAATTTTCTAAGAAATTCTCAAGTATATTCCACAGTGATTGTACCATTTTAAATTCTCACTAGCAGTAAATGAAAGTCCCTATTACTTCACATCTTAGCCAGTATTTAGTGTTTTCTATGTGTTAGAGATTGCATATTCTGCTAGGTGTCTAGTCATATTTTATCGTCAGGCAGGCCCTTCGACAGTTGAGCTATCTACCCGGTCTTAGATTGAGTGCTTCTTATGGGTGATGGCTCTGCTACATTTCTCTTTTCTTTCATAGTCACACACTTGACATATTAAAGTTAATGTTGAAAGAATGCATTGTTATATTCATGAAATAAGTCACCTACTCTTTTGCTGCTCAAAAGATGACTCTTAGAGCAGAAGTACAGGAGCCTGTAGGAACATGTTAGTAGTGAACTTATCTCCCCCTGCCAAGAATGATAGGAGACCAAGATGCATGTGTAGAACAGGCTGATATGGAAAAATTCTCTTTAACACAGGCACAGGAAGGGCCTCACTACCCACCGAGAAAGTAAAATTGGCAAGTGAAAAAGAAAACTATTTTGTAGAAGTTTGTACCACACTTGAGAATATGAGAACTGAAAGTGCAATGCTAGAAGTCAACTTACAGGTTTAAAAACTAGTTATAGTGGTTGATCTTTAAAATCAAGGTCTTATTTTGAAGTCAGCCCAGGTAAGAATTCCATGGCATTGCCTTACCTGCAAACAATTGGTGATGGATGGCATACTAGCATCTACCAGTTTGTTATGTTCTGAGACTACATGGTTGGGAAATGTTTTATTCTGGACTGACACTGCTTACAGTGTAGATGAAGAAGTAGAGACAAAATAAATCATAAGGTGGTGGCTAAATTGTGCTATAGAGCTATATGCCAGATTTTGTGCAAACACCTACAACTGTAAGTTCCTTGGATGTAAGACATATTTCTCTCTCTTTTTTTTTTTTTTTTGTATCTTAGGGAAGGATCTACAGGATGTTCAGGGTCTCACTACTAGATCAGACTCATAGTGATCTGCCTGTTTACAGCCTCCCCAGAGCTGGGATTATAGGTGCCCACCACCATGCCCAGTCTCAATTGCCATCTCAGCCCACCCTAGGGGTGGGACCAGCATGGCAGGCCCAGGGATCAAACGCCCAGCCCCTGCACCTGCTTGCAGGCGCTTTAATCCTCTGAGCTATTTGGCCTTTCTTACTCATGTTAATAGAATATTTGTTCTTAAAATACAAATTGGGTTTTTGAGGGAATTGTAATAAATCATACTTCATCTCTACTGGTACTTAGGCCATTAAGAAATAGGGAGGTGATAGGAAAATAAAAAATATTCAGAATATCTATATCTATATATATATATCTATCTATTCCTTGTGATGCATGTATTCATTATGTATCATATTGTAGCTAATAGTAAATAAACATATAGTAAATGATAATGATGATGCTCAAAATAATAAAGATAAATTTATACTGTAAAAAGTAAGGCATCAGATGGGGGAAATTATTAATATTAGTAATTAAAACCTTTTCATCTGCATGGCTTCTTCCCTAAAACACAAGGGCTTTCCCACCAAGCCATCCACCTGAATCTTGTTTGACTTCAGGATCCTTGCGTATGCACAATCAGGTCTACTAACAGCCACTCAACTAGCCCAGTGGGGGACTTATGTCAAGCTTTCTTGTTTGTAGCTAAATGAGGACTCAAGGATATGAGTTTGACAGCTTCCCTGCCTTTAAAACAAAGGCTTCTTCTTGTGGTTAATGTGGCTGTAAGAGTGAGGGCTTCTGCCTATCTCAGCAGTCACTTAGATCAATACACTTTCCATAAGGAAACATCTGCAAAAGGATTGATCAATAGGTGATTGTGTTTTGTGCCTAAAGGAAGGACATGAGAGAAGCAAATAATGATTTCTTCTTTATTTGAGAACACAGTCGGGTGGTGAGATAGCTCAGTGGACTAAGACCCTGTTCAGGCAAGCACAGGGACTGGGGTTTGATCCCCAGCACCACACGTTGCGCCCCCCCCCCCCCGGGTGCACTGAGCTGGCCACCTTGAGTTCCCAGATGGAGGCACACACTTGTAATCCTAGCTCTGTGGAGGCAGAAAACAGGAGGGTCGTTATGAGTCTGAGCTGTGTAGTGAGACCCTGTACCAAATACATAAAAAAAAGAGAGAGAACATAGTAAGAACTCACCAAATGTTAAACTATTGAACTGAATGAACTAAAAAAGGGGAAGCAACTACTTTTTTAAGAGGGATAAATCAAAGAAATATTTTTGGTGCTTTCTGTTAGAGGCAGGATAAATGGAAGGAGGACTTCTAAGTGAAGAGGAAAGCCATCTGAAAAGGCATATCATGTTCTAACAACGACCTGAAATCCAGCAGATGTAGCAGGAGTTATATGGAGGGATAACAGAATATAGCACTGA